TTGCAGAAGTTAAAGAGTCTTGGAGTCAGCTGGGTGGATGAGGATGAGAATCATTCGGGATCGGGGGAGTCGGAGGACGAGGAGTCGGGTCATACGATCTTGTTTGCACTTCCAGTAGAAGAAAGCTCATTCAAGGTGTGTCATGTTGAAGCCGTAGATGGGGTGGAACAAGAAGCCAAACTCCTTAGAGAACAGGGAGCTATGTCAAGGAGAGCGGTTTGTGATTTGGTACTTCGGAGTAAGTGGCCTTCGTGTAGAAATCACAGGAGGGCCGATAAGACAACGCATGAAAAGGGTAGGCTAGCGGTTCTTGGTGCTTTTGCTCACGGGGGTATTTATGGAGTCACCCAGGTAACGCACCAAAAGCCAGAAATGGTAAAAACCCTGAACGTGTATCTCCGTCAAGAAGTCCCAGATGCCACCTATACTGCGATCCTGGTTAGTCAGAGGGGTCCTTCAGAATGGCACCGAGATGTCAACAATGCGGAAGGGTCCATCAACTGGGTAGTTCCATTAGGAGATTTTCAAGGTGGCGAAATTAGAGTGTTACCTGAAGGGCTAAGAACCGATGAAGCTGATGTAGATGAGCATATGGGCATCTTGTACCCCCCAGCAAATCATCCAGTGTCATTCAATCCCAAAAGGAGACACAAGGTTCTTCCTCATACCGGGAATCGTCTCGTCTTGGTTGCCTATACACCTCGAGGATGGACTCGTCTTCCAGAGTCGACGATAAAGGAACTTCGGGAGCTTGGGTTTCCGGTTCCTCCGCTGCCTAAGGGATCCGAGCCAGTAGTCAGAGCTGTTTCAGTAGCCTATGTCGGCGACGACAGTAGTGAAGGCGATGGTGGCTTAGGCTGCACCATTGTAGATGACCAGCAGTATGCCATGGATGAGAAGTTGGTAGAAATGCTGCAAGCTGACCTTTACTTTCTCTCACGGGTCTTTTCTTGGGAGTGTCAGTTGGCGTCCGAAACGCTGAGGGAAGCCGGGCCGTCAAACTGCCCAAGCATGTGCTACATCAACATGTTGGACTCGCAAATCCAAGAGCTGCAAGAGGAGTTGCTGTGGATCGATTCCGGGACAAAGCTTGATGGCACTGTCAGCGGGCATGATGACGAGAGGCTAGCCAAGGCTATGATAAGGACACTAGCAGTGAAGGAAAGCGAGAAGGGCCCACAAGAAGAAAGTGAGCCAGAGGTGTTCCTGCAGGCTAGGACTATCGACCCGCAGCAAGCAGCGGGCGAACTTGAAAAGTGGGTCCCCCCACTGTTGGACGAATACACTGGGTTACGCTTTCAATATGAAGCCATCTACCCCATCGACGTGAACCAGTTGTGTGAGGAAGATGTGCAGAGTGGAGCAATAGAAATCCTACCTGCAAAGGTGGTGTTCACGAGAAAGCCACCGGTGGGAAAAAGACGCGCGCGCATAGTGGCGTGCGGAAACTTTCAGCAGAAGACCTGGAGCGATCAAGTTGCAGTTGCTCGTCGAGAGGTATACGCCTCTGGGCTAGACACCATCGCGTTGAGAATCCAGTTGCGACAGGCGTCTCTATGTGGGTGGACCGCTGCAATCCTAGACATAAGAAAAGCCTTCCTGTATGCGCCGCTGCACGAACGGAAGGGAAAAGGAAAACGCATAATCTTGATGCCGCCTAAAATACTGGTCAAGGCCAAGATAATCCCACCGTCGGAGCGATGGGTTATCCAGAGAGCACTATACGGCTTGGACTTAAGCCCGGCGGCATGGAGCCGACACCGTGACAAATGTCTTTCTCAGCTGAAGTGGGCCTTCGAGGGTTTGGAGTACAGACTAACACAGAGCGATTCCGAACCGTCTCTTTGGAAAATCCAGGATTCCAGCAACGCTTTGAAGGGGCTCATTGGCGTATATGTTGACGATATGCTCTTGAGTGCTTGCAGAGGCTTATTGGAATCAGTGGCAGGGGCCATTCAGACGCTTTGGGAGACCAGCGACATTAAGTTTGCGGAGGACGGTTTGCACTTTCTTGGTGTTGATATCCGGCTGCACAATGGTAGGTATTACCTAACACAAGTGAGCTATGTCACCGAGTTGCTGAACAGGCATCCCGAAATTGAGGGGACTGCGTCGACGCCGTATCCAGCTGAGAAGGATCAGGAGACCCAAGAAGAGAATATCCAGATGGAGTCGGTTCGCTTAGTGCAGGGGCTGATTGGAGAATTAACGTGGTTGGCCACGAAAACAAGGTTGGATATCGCGTGGGCGGTGAACCGTGCTTCTCAGCTTTCTAGCAAGCGTCCTAGCAGGGCGATTGCAGTGTGCCAAAACATCGTGCGATATCTCCGAGGAAAGCCGGATTTGGGCCTGGTGTACGGGCCGAAGCCTGCGCAGGGCGTGAAGGTCGAAATGACGGAGGGGACTCTAGAAGTCGCCACAGACGCGTCGTTTGCACCGCTGGGCGAAAAGTCACAAACCGGCGTGGTGTTAAAATGGGCCGGCGCTGTCATCGGCTGGGTTTCCTCAAAGCAGACGTTCGTCTGCCTGAGTTCGGCAGAAGCTGAGCTATATGCGGCCATGGAAGGTATGGTCATGACAGACAGTGTCAGTGACCTGGTACGCGAACTAGTAGGGCAGGTGGCGCCAGCTCTCTATTCGGACAACGTTGCATGCACTTGCTTGATCGCTCTCCCGGCGGGCTCATGGAGAACCCGTCATTTGAGACTTCGCGCGAGAAGATTGCACGAGAGAATAGAGAATGAGGAGCTTCAATGTTTTCACCTACCAGGGGAGGTCATGACCGCGGACCTATTAACCAAGTCGCTTTCGTCTCAGAGGATGCAGAAGCTACTTGACTTGGCTGGAGTCGTCCAGTTGTCCCATGTCTTAAGATGCGCCGTGGTGGTGCTGAGCATCTCCAGAGCGCAAGCTCAGCCATCTGAAGATGAAGAAGATGAAGCGTCATGGGTTCCACTTCTGCTAGTAATGGGGTTCACGGTCTTAATCGCAAGACTTTTGGAACTGTGTTTGCGATGGTGTTGGAGTCAAGGGGCAAGGAGACTTAGAGATCTTCAGGGGCCACCTGAGAACGGAGAACTAGTAGGGTCTGTTCTAGAACAAGTATCTTCGCAGGGAGCTGTAGACGGGTCTGAGGTGACAGTAGTCGCTTTTGGGGATGACGTTGGACTGGTAGGGCCAGAGGATCAGGTCGAAGTTGTGGCTGCGGACTTGATCGCTAGGGCGCTAGAAGAAGAAGAACGAGCCTTGTTTCATAGGTGGTATGCTCTATATGTTGAGCCCTATGATCCCTACGACCCGTTGTTAGATGAGTCCCCATCCCGCAGAGCCTCTCTTGAAGACATTTGGTCGGAACCTCAAAGCCCAAATCCCGAACCTGAAATAGGACAGGGGTCTAGGACCGGGGGAGTAGAACTGTCTCAGGCGGCAGGGCCTAAAACTAAAGCTCCAGATCCTAAGTCAAGTACCCAAACTTCCTTTCAGGGGCACCATCCCTCGTTGAGTTCTGGGCTTTCGGAAGAGTCTCTGGTTTCGGGTGGGAGTCTTGAAGTAGACCCTAAGAGTAAGCCTCCTGCACCAAAACCGCCCCCGGATGGTTGGTTGGGAACCGTTGTAAAAAGGCCTCCGCCCGTGACATCGCAGTCTGTAGCTATCCCTATCCCTAAGCCGAAACTACCGCCTGAAGGTTGGTTGGGAACTGTTGCCCCAAAGCATCCAACCGCGAAGGCACAGTCTGTAGGTGTCCCAAAGTCTCCTCCTGTTAAGCAACCCCCACCAGCTCCGAAATTGAACCCGCAAGCTCATCAGGACATGATATTAATCGCGCAGACACAAGAATTGATTCAGTGGGAGCTTCGCCGAAATCTCGGCCATCAGCCCATTGAAGGGCTCAGAGATAACTTCCACTACATTCCCGAACTTGGTCTGCTGATAAGATGGCATCCGATGTGGCGCCAACAGTTCTTCGACCCAAGTCGGACAGCACTTCCGATATCACTAAGCAGGTTGGTTGGGGATCGTCGGTCTTTCTGTATCTTCAGGGATGGTACCAGTGGCATTCTTGATGACAACTTCAGGGTCACGCGCCAAGGGGCGAACGTCTCAACGATGCAATGGCAGGGGAGAACTGAGTTCCTTGTAGCTCCTCCAACCCCTATAGCTCCTGTACCAAACCCTCCTCCAAGCAAATCGAAAGCCGCAGGTCCCAAACCAAAATCTAAGCCGAAATCTCAACCGAAAGCCGAGCCGAAGCCGAAAACACCACCACGTCGCTTAACACAGTGAAGCGGAAACTGTAGACCTCAAACAAGGCGTACTCCTAGAAGTCCTGATTCCTAGTCTTAAGTGATGTAGGTTTTGGGTGTTTAGATAGGGTTGACGGGGTAAGTTCTCCTTCCTTTGGGGCCAGTAGCGTCTTAAAGGGTTTTCTAGGTCCTATGCTTGGTACAGATAAGTATGTGGACACCGTCTTGCGTAAGCTGGTTTTCCGTAGTCTTGAGCGTCGCAGAGTGTTTGAAACCGCAGTATCGTTTAGAGCATCTTGATCGTAGGCAGCCGGTAAGTTCTGCTATTGTTTCCGAGAAGGGGAGCTCGCTGGACTTTTGGGATTCCTGTCCTGTCCTTAGGCGTCCCCCCGTAGATCTCCTTTAGATCTCCGTTGTTGGTGTTGTTACGCAGAAAAGGCCTTGAGCTTTGAGCACTCACTCCACGGCCTAACAACTACCTGGCCAAGTGTTTGAAAGAGTGGTGTGCCTTAGATATGAGTTTGCATGCTGCAAAGGGGGAGTCTTGATGATGAAGCATCATATCCCTTCTGCAGGCCTTTTAGCTATGATCAAGTGCAGTATCTGAAAAGGGCGATTTGACTTGTGCGAGTTCACAGGTGTCTTGGCAGCATTAACCCTAAACCCTAACCTCTAATCTAAGGGTTGGTTTCCTTACTCTTTACCCCCCCAACGTAGCCCTGGTTTGGGGAGGAGAAAAACATTCTGCCAAGCAGCACCGTCAATGCTTCCCTGGCACCGAAGGACTTCAGTACCTGAACAACTCCCGCCGAGTCTGTCACAGCAGCAATGGAGCCGAAGGCCATTGCCAGATACCAGTTCCTTTGCTGTTCCAGATGCCGGGGGCACACAGAAAAGAGACGGAAATTGGAACGTGGACTGACTTACAGAAAATCCCTAGGCTGATCTAGGCTGCATGCAAGGCTGCATGCACACTCCCGGCAAAAGGTTTTGCATTGCTCCGGCACCCAAAGACATGCAGAACATGGCCTACGTCGACCTAGCACTCCATCTTCAGCGGGCACCACGACTGTTGCTGTGGACCCAAGCCTATCTCAGAACCAGAACTGAGAACACCACTCGGCTTAAACTTCGAATGCTGCGACGGGGCAGCAAAGGTCGCATCACATTATGAGGTCTCTAGGGCGGCGAGCGACTACACCAGCACAAGGGGACATGCATGCAGATAACATTCGTTCCGAGATTGAAAAAGACAAGACGCTTGCTTCAACATCATCTGGGAGATAACAGACTATCTTTCTTCGCATGAGGCCGACCCCACTTCCTCCGCCGACACTGTGTCCCGTGGTTTAAGCTTGAAGGGTCTAACCAAACGGTGGCCACTGAGTTCCGAGAGCTATTCCAATGGTTTCGCCCTAGATTCCATGAGTAGGGAAGCACGTAGTAAGTCACGATGCCACTCAAAGCCGCACCAGCGGCGACACCGGGGCATGCAAGCAGAAAGCTCTGCCAGAAGGTCCTGCGGAAGAGGTGGACGTCGACGGACAGCGATTCGGTGAAGAGCAGCACCGGGACGAAGATGAAGAGGAGAGCATGGCCATCAATTTGCATGAAGATGTCCGCGGAGGAGTGCAAAGAAGCGAACATCCCCTGGTGCACATGCAACTTCGAATGAAGATAAGCGCTGAGCAGCATGCCCTCGATAAAAAGCACCGCGCTGTGGGGCAGCCAAGGAATGTGGAAGGCCAGAACCTTCAGGGAGTTTGGGGCGCAGGCGGGTGAAGGCGGGCCGTTGGCGGGCCGTTGGGATCTGGGAGTTCGGGATTTCATTGGCAGAACCTGATGGGTCATGGCTGCCATGGCAATGACCAGGATCACAAAGAGGATGGCGAACGCAGGCCCACCTTCGCCACGCACTGCGGTCTCCATGTTCAGGCGCCGCAGCTCTTGCAACTGCCGGTCCGACACCCGGACAAAGTTCTCAAACACGAACCACGTGACCCGCTGAGAACCTCTGAAAGCAAGCAGAAAAGGCTTCCGAGCTCTCTCTCGCTTGAGTCATGATACCAATCCAGGAGTTGCGCTAAGGGACACGGGGGCGTGGTTAAGCTCCCGGGATACGTGTAGAACTTGGTGGCCGCGTCTTTGGGTAGGAGCTTCTCCAGCACAATAGGCTGCTCCAAGATGCCGACCTGCGTGACTAGGCACCAAGTCTCGCATCTCCAGAAGTTTGGGTGACTTGCTCGGGTTCAGGGTTTAGGCTTGAGGGTTGAGGGTTTAGGGTTTAGAGTTCAGGGTTTAGGGTGAGTCCCCCTCAGTCGAAGCGCCTTTTTGGCGTGAGAGGCGAAGTCGCTTCAGCCGTTGGAACCCCAGAAAGCTCTCCGTTCAGACGGAAGCAGAAAATTCCGAGGATGTTCCGAAGGGGTTCTGAAGGGGGACACATTAAACAATTTTTAGAAGCCATTCTCCCAGCCCTGTCGGTCCGTACCAGACGACTCCCTGGTCTACCAAACAGGTCTGAAAGTGGCAGTGGGGAGCTGTCACTAGCTGAGGTGGCGCTCTGATGCAAAGGCAACCAGGCATCCTTAGTTCCTGGTCCCAGGGAGGATGCGCGACACAAGATGCTGCCGTAGAACTGGAAAAGATGAGCCTCGTGCTCAGCTTGCCACCCATAGTGGATAGTGGCTTTAGGGCTTTGGGGCTGGAAGTCTTGTGGCTGGCAGCTGGTAAAGCACGTGTTCGGCATCACGGACGGCAACACCACATTAGCTGTCTCGAAAGCTACACCTTTGTGTGTGAAGGGCAATTCAAGACATGACCACAAGCACCATCAACCATCCATCTCCTCCGAAATGCGCCTAAAGACTTAGGAGGTATGGGTAACAAGCGCGAGCTCGGCATTCGTGACGAGGACCCACGCCCCGCCCACAATGCTCCGCATGGTCTGAACGACCTCGGGTGCATCAAGGGGGGATTCAGAATTCAGAGCCCAAGGACCGCACCTGCTTGCAAAATGCATGCTGCTTTCGCGCCTCCCAAATCAAATTGAGGACCACAGCAAGCAATAAACCCTCAGAAGACCTCAATAGCACCGAACAAGAAGTCTGGGATTCAGTTCGAAGGCTTAACGGTTTAGGGCTGGTCTGGCAACGATCAAGTGGTAAAGATCCCTGATGGTGGTAAGGGAGGTTACCTCATGAGCTGGCGATGATGCTGCGCACACAAACTGTGACCAGTTCTTAAGCTACTAGCTGCTCCGAACCCACGTAGGGGGCGGTTTTGCTCTGGGCTCGGAATTTCTTGGCGTGAAGACTTGGGCTCCTAGGGTCACGGCGAAAATCGACTGGCTCAAGCTTGGCGACTCCTCTTGTAATTTGCATCGTCACTGGTCGAGAGCTGAGCCCACACTCTGTCTCTACTTTCCAGTGACTTCCGCCGCAGTTTGACTGCCTCCTCCAACCTCTTGGGATCACGCTCGATGACGGACAGGAAATCCTGTAGACGCGCAAAGTGCGCAGCGCCCTTCGAGTCCAGGCCATGCAAAGGCGGCATGTAGATCCCCTTCGCTTCAAGGCCCGCTCCTTCTGGAGTGATCTGTACAGGTCTGGAAATGCCCAGTCGAGCCAAAGCGGCTTAGAAGCAACACCTCATGCACACAATGCTTCTGGTTGAATGGCAAACTTGCCAGTGACTTCTTTAACCGCCGTTTCCCGAAATGAGGTCACTGCAGCCTAGTGCCTCAACATTGCTGAGATACGCATCGAGTTAGGCTGCACCGCCGGCTTTACGACTTTGGGTGCAAAGAGCATTACAAGGATGGTTATTGCCTCCTTCCTGCTGTTGACTGCAACAAAGATCATAGCTTGAACTGCCTGGTTCTGGTGCTTGACTTTGGACGAGAGATGCGCGAGGATCGGCTCAAAGGCAAGGTTGTCCTTCCGGCCACGAGGCACACACACACACACTCTGACCCCTAAGCTACAACACAAGCCAATCCTGCACAAAAGACATCCAAAGAAGAGAAGCGAACACTCAACCCTAAGATCCTTGCATCAAGACGTTGTTGTTTGCTAAGGCAGGTTCAGAGGGTAGGATTCAACTTTGGCAAGGTCAACATATGGAATCGAGACCAGGGTCTTTAAGAAGGCCTGACTGTGCTTCCATCGTTGCCAGTTTTCAGACCCATTCCACACCAGAAATGCCTCTTCTTCCACACCACGAGGGTTTAGGGCTTAGGGTTTAAAGGTTTAAGGTTCCGGCACCCAACAATACAGCCCAAATCCTCAACCTCGAAATCACATCCCATTGAAGCGCGATAGGCCGAAACCCTGAACCCTGAACCCTAAACCCGAAACCCTGAACCCTAAACCCTAATTCCTAAACCCTAAACCCTCAACCCTAAACCCTAAACCCTAAACTCCTCTTCAGCTCCCCCCTCGACCATGGTGCCAAGCACGGTCAGGAGGGTGCCGCTGTCCGGGTCACTGCGATCCTACTTTCGGGTTTAGGGTTCTGGGTTTTAGGGTTTAGGGCTTCGGGTTTAGGGTTCACGGTTTAGGGTTTAGGGTTTTGTGTTTAGGGTTTAGGGTTTAGGGTTTGGGGTCTGGGGTTTGGGTTTTGGGGTTTGGGGTTTGGGGTTTAAGGGCGCGAGCTGTCCAGAGACGGGATGTGATGCGACGCAAGATGTCCCCCGAAGTCCAAAGCCAACAAAGGGCGCACGTGCTGCAGTTGTCTTAAAAATTTAGGAGTTAGGGTTTCGGTTTCGGATTTAAGGTCTACTGTTAGGGATTAGGGTTTAGGGATTGGTATGGCGGACCTCCGGAACGACCCGCTCGTTGACGAAGACCATGTGCAACTCTGCGGCCTACCAGTTCGTTTGGTCCCTAGTCCTAGCGGTTCTTAGCATTCAGGGGTAGCAGGGTAAGACCAACTTCCGATGACCTGCCTAGAAGACAGCGCCACTTCAGGATACATGGGTTCAGAGGTTTGTAGCAGGCTTCTACAATAACTCCAGCACCCTCATCTGAATCTCCTCAACCTATCCATCGCCCCAAAAAAACATCCGAACTCCCAAACCCAAAATTCGTAAACCCCTGGCTCTTTTGTACCACACTGAGGCGGTGAAGTTGCGACTTGTGGGGTTTGGGTGTCGTGAGAAAAAAAAGGGGAATATAGGGCTGAACGAGGCCCTTTGGAATTCATAAGGTCAGGGTCTACAGGATCTGAACTTCGGGCCCCGAAACAAACGGAAGGCTCTGCAACCGCGCGGCCCGGCGCTGGCCGCAGACCAAGTGCTCGGAGCCCTTGCCTAGGTTGGGGGATTTGCAATTTGCCTGGAAAAGCGCGTCTCAGTCCGACCTCTTCACCACGCCTGATATATATATATATGTGCAAAATTAGTAGCAATCACGATAACAGGTAACCCACAGTAAGAATGGTAATAACGATAGTCATCAGTTGCACTAAGAAATAATGAGTCGTCGACGATGACGAAATCACAAAGAACAATGAAGAATGAAAAGAGTAGGAATCAAGAGTTAAGAGCTGGGACTCAAAAAACGAGAATAAAGAATTAAGAACTGAGAGCTAACACTTGAGAGCTAAGAACGAAGAACTAAGGACTCAGAATTCAGGGTTAAGAACTCAGAACTCATCATTGCTGATACCCTAAGGCCTGAACCCTAAACCCTAAGCCCGAAACCCTAAACCCTAAACCCTAAACACGTGTCTTGGGGGCATCCTCGACCCGACGCCCGAGCTAATTTGGAAGTGGTACAAGATGAACCAGTTTCCACCACTACCCACTTGGGGGTTTTAGGGGTTTAGGGTTTGGGGTTTGGGGTTTAGGGTTTAGGGATATTACGGGTACCCTATTGGGATCCTTATATAACAAAGGGGATCCTACTATTTGGGGGGGTCTATTTAGGGGTCCCACTTCTCTCATGGCGATACACAAGCAATCTGTTTCGACCAGAGCAGGTCTGAATCCCTCTGTTAGTGATTTGGAATATTCTCTCGTACATCTTCATATCTTACATCTCTTCACTTCTCGTCTTGATGGTCCAGCCGCTATCGTCGGAGCCCCAGTGCATGTGGAACTGCTCCAGGAAGTACCTTCAACGACTTATCTGGCGGTGTTTTGAGGGTTTGACTACCTCGAGAACCGAACCAACAAGCAATCAAAACCTCAACCCAAGACCACAACCCTCGCCCTCCAAACCCTAAACCCTAAGCCCTGAAGCCTCAACCAACAAACCCTGCCTGTCTGGCTTGGAAGAGTTGAGACCGCGCACGGCCTTGGGCCACGTGCCAAAGGTCGCGGAGGCCTGGTCTCAAGTTGCTGTGGGTTCTGCACTCCTCTTGCAGCTCAGTTCCCGGCATAGGCTTGAGGGCTTAGGCTCAAAGAAGGTGATTTGGGGGGTTGGTGTTTTGGGTTTAGGGCTCATGATTGGGGTCGACCAAGAACTCTGGACTCGGACAGCTTGCGAGCCGAGCGCAAGCCTGAAGTTCAAAGTCAGTTTTTGCGCGTTGTCGAGTTTCAGGCTTCCGGTGTGACAAGGCGACAAAAGGCTTTTGAGCTCTTGTTGGCGCGGGATGGAGGCACCTCTTGACAACCCAAGGCCCCCACACACTCTTGAGAACCCTAAACCCTAAACCCTAAACCCTAAACCCTCAACCCTAAACCCTCAACCCTAAACCAGATTTTGGGTTTCGGAGTTTTGGCATTTAAAGGATCCCCAGCCGCCGCCTCACAGGATGTGCCGCTGCGACCGCACACGATGACGGTCATCGAGTGGCCGTTGTTCGAGACCTGTCCAACGCCAAGCCAACAAGAGCCACAAGGACTAAGCAGGAAACGACCTGCCCCCCAAGGATATATAGATATACATATACATATGCATATACATATACATATACATATGCATATGCATATGCATATGCATGTGCATACGCATACGCATATGCATATGCATATGCATATACTATACAGAAACATATGCATATACATATACATATACACATATATGTGCATGCATTATACAAAGACATATATATATATGTATAACTGAATCCTGCTGCCTGCAGCTTCTCCAGAGGCTGCTGGAACCCAGGGCCCAGTGAGATGCGCACGTCGGGTGCCAGCACCGAGTCCGCGGCTTGGATGTCGATGGGGCTTTGACCTTTGAGGGGGCTTAGGGGCTTCGGGGCTTGGGGGCGTAGGGCTTAGGGGACTCTTACAGGGGCTTAGGGGCTTGGGGGCTTGGGGCTTAGGGGCTTAGGGGCTCTTAGGGGGTCTTAGGGGCTCTTAGGGGCTCTTAGGGGCTGTTAGGGGCTTGTAGGGCTTTAGGGGCTCAGGGGCTTAGGGGCTTAGGGGCTGTTTGAACGGGTTTAAGCGGCTTAGGGGCTGTTGAAAGGTTGAAGCAGGATTTGGGATGAGAGAACTGAAACATACCATGAACTTACTGGGACCTTCCCCTGAAAGACGGTGCCTAGCCCAAAAAACCCTCAACAAGGTCCCATGTTTTCTGATAGGTCGACTGGGGGCCCAAGCCCCAGACCTGATTGTAAAATCTCTCGTGCTCTCAACGAAACCCTGCGCGCCTCGAATGGAGTACCACAGGGCCTTAAGAATTAGAATAGGGTTTTGGGGGTTAGTATAGTATTCTTATAGAGGGACCAGAAGGGAATACTATGAGTCATTATTCCGACCCCCTATATTACCCTAGACTATTGAACTCAAGACCTTTCACATGGCAGGCCTGGGTGGCTTGGCCCTGTTGCGGCGTGCCCGCACTCGTTGGGCCAACCTGTCTGAGGAATGAAGTCCGTCCAGCCGTCCTGCTTTTTTATGTGTGGGATGCAGGCTCCAAAAGGCTTCTTGGGGTTCAGGATGTTTGGTACTTGAAGGTTTTTGTTAGGCTCCAAGCGTGTTAGGATTTGAGGGGTTTCTGGCACACCTCAGCTTAGGACTCTGCGGCTAAGGACTTTGGGGATCCGCCGTCCTGGTCATAGTAGGACCAGTGGAGGTGTGTGGACATCCCCCACGATCGCTTGGTCTTCGTCGGCGGAGCTTGCTTGAAGCACGCGTTGGACGTGGCATCTTTGGGACAATCCAAGTCCGGAAGGCACTGTTGGGAGGCGTTCGCTGAACGATACACACGTCGAAAGGCCCCAACAGGCTGCGGGGCACGGAAGTTGTCCAACAAAGACACGTTCTGTTTATGGTTGCTGTGGCCAGCCTCCGCGCACAGGAAGGTAAGCGCAAGAAGCGCTGCAGCTGCAGCCACCATCAAGCCACCCCCTCCCAGCTCCCCCTCCCAGCTCCCAGCGAAGATCCAAGAAGCAACTCGAGCCAGGATCTCAATGCGACGGATCATGATCACAATGCAGATGTAGCCTGCACCTAGCTTGCAGCACAGCCATATTGATGCAGAGCATGAGGAGTGACGAGATAATACTTATGAAGCTGCGTTGTGTTGGTTGCAGACAACGCTACCAATCCGAATGTTGCTGTCGTTGTGTTGGAAGTGCTGGGAGGCATCTGATCGTAAGGTACGTTGTGGCGGTGCGTCCTGCTAGCCAAGTGTGAGTGTCCGTACGCTCTGAGTCCAAATTGTTGCTGCACCAAGGGATGTTGCTCTAGCAAATTAGGGATTGCGATGTCAAACAAAAGCAATGGCAAATCGATTCACAGCGAGGATGCTAGATATGGTGCGTCCTGGATCATTTGCAGGTACACATCCGGGCATCCCTGGATGCTTCTTTCAAAGCTTATGATGTTTTCAATCGGCGAATAAATCACGTGATGTTTCACATGCAAAGATGCGTGATGACATTGATTGATAATCTCAAAGGCTCAAGTGCAACACTCGCGTTCAGCTTCGTTCTACTATGCCGCTTGACACAACATGTCGCAGAAACAAGTCATGACTCTTCAGCGGCACAAAACATAGCGGCTTGAAAATACGCATGCTTCCCAAGGAACTTGGCTGTTCAGCACTGCTCGATAGAAGACACGGATTCTTCCGCATCCTGTCATAAGTTTCAAAAGAAAGAAAAGTCTGCAAGCAGAAAAGCTTCTTCACCACCTGCCTGGCCCCTGCTAATTCGATGCATAGCCTCATGCGCAACCAAGGAAAAAATCTGCTGTCACTCCATCAACGGCAATCTTCGGCTAGTGATGATCCCTGCTTATCTGAATCGTCGCAGACAGCTTTCCCCCCCGATGTCCTGGCAAGTAGACTCAGTAGACAGTTTCAAAGAACACACACTCCAAAAGTCAGATGCCTCCCCCTCACAGCAGCAAAATGCAAGGGCACAAGGGTTGAAGGTGCAAACCCGGGAACCTGGGCCCGTGACATCTGAACAAGCTCGAGCTGAACCCAAGGTTTCTCTTTCCTTGGCCCACCGCCCTGCGCAAGCAATCCCATGCTAATAGAGAGACAGAGAGAAACAGAAAGACAGAGAGAGAAAGAGAGACACACTGAGAGAGAGAGAGGGAATGCGGAGAACACACTTCGCTGCTGAGTGAGGACCACTTCAGTTCTGTGATTCTCGTGTTCGGAAAACACCAGGCGGTTGCCACTACATTGGCCGCGACCCCATCCAAGCTTCCGGCCAGGTTGCTTTGCAAGCCTGTGGCTGGAGCTCGAGCGTCAAAGTCCCAATCATGTCACGCTGCTCAGATGGATGAAATCTCAAATCGTTGCAGATGACATCTCAGACTCAGCAATTCATAAACACAGCGTTCTGGCCAGCTGACCCACTGGCGCCGCTCGCTCTGCCACCTCGCCCCCAACACACACACACACACACACACACACACACACACACACACACACACACACACACACACACACACACACACACACACACACACACACACACACCCCCACACACACACACACCCCCACACACACACACACACACACACACACACACACACACACACACACACACACACACACACACACACACACACACACACACACACACACACACACACACACACACACACACACACACACACACACACACACACACACACCAACACACACACACACACACACACACACACACACACACACACACACACACACACACACACACACACACACACACACACACACACACACACACACACACACACACACACACACACACACACACACCACACACACACACACACACACACACACACACACACACACACACACACACACACACACACACACACACACACACACACACACACACGCACGCACCCACACGCACCCACACGCACCCACATGCACCCACACGCACCCACACACACCCACACACACCCACACCTCACAACTTGACTCCCTCACAAGAGAATTTTGCCACCCTTGAACTTTGAACTGTTCTGCAGCCCATGCATACGGATCACTCAATGCTGCAAGAGCTTCACCCAGGGTGTGGCTGCCGCTGCATTCAATATGGGGTTGAGGGGCGTAAGGTTGGGGCATCTTTCGAGAGGTTATATGTGCGACTTGGCGATTTGGGGAGTATCGAAAGTATCGCGTGGGTTTCGTTGTTAGAGCTTGGACTTGGTAGGATGGTGCACTCGCCTCATTCGCCATCATTCGTCTTGCCGGCTAGAGAAGAGGGCGTGCGACAAGACGGTGTCCTGGAGTCTGGGAGGGCTCGTTGCATGCTGTCGTGGCTTCCCGTCCGCTTGAAACAATCACTAAAGGATCAAGACGCTGTGCACTTCTTCTGCTTCACAGGCCACTTGTCCTTGTGCGATGGCCCCCGAAGCATCTCGTCTGACCTACCTTCGCAACAGCTCTTGCGGAGAGGCGGCATGCTACTGCTCTGCAGTGGTCTGACTTCACGAAAATGCATGGCGCTAATTCTTTTGATGCAGCTGCAGCGGATGAGCTGCACACTCTGACAGCAATGCAACGCGGGGGCACTGAAGCCTGAACCGATTCACATCGTTTACACACCCGGCTCTCACTACCTTCCGAGGATGCGGGAGAAGATGCCTCCATCGCTTTGGGGTTCGGATGGCTCAGCCTCCCAGCCCTTAGGCGGCCGCATGGTCCCCTCGTCTTCCTCAGGTCCCTCCTCAATGGGTCCAATATTCAGCCGCGAGAGTGCCCGCGAGCCTGAGCCGGAGCCCACAGAGCTTCGTCTGGATCCACGGCTTGCGAGGAGCGCCAGCCTCCCGGATGAGGAAGTAGACGTGGAAGTGGTGGGACTGGCTCCCATCTCCTGCGCGCGCGCCAGCAGTGCGAGCTGCTCGGTGGCACCCTGAAGCATCTGCTCCAGCCGCTCCGCGTGGGCCGCGAAGCGCCGCTGTTCGGAGCTCAGCCGGAGCCGCTCTGCGCGCTCCTCGCCCAAGGCCTGGGACAGCGCGCTCAGCGTGGCCTGTGGAGAGCCGGAGCCACCGGGGCCGCCGGAGCCCTCAACGAAGTCCGAGGAAACCGGCCTCCTCAGGTCGCGGCGCAGCTCCTCGCAGACCGCATCCAGCTGGGCCAAACTGACGGCCTCACTCCGGTCTTTCCGGTCGCTGGCCAACTCCTGTGCCAGGCAAGCCACATCGTCCTCGATCTGGCCCACCTTCCGTGATAGTGTGGCGATGTCCTTGCTGCTGTGGATCACCCTCTCCACGGCGCCTTCCAGGACCTCCGCCAAGCTCACGAAGCGAGTCAGGCGCTCGTTCATGGAGGTGGTGGCGGCAGCGGCCACCTCCAGGCCGCTACTCAGAGCACTCTCCAGTGCAGCGAAGCGCTGCTCCCAGCGTTGGGTCAGCTTTGAGAGCGTGGCCTCCTGCTGCGCCTGGAGCCGATGCGCCAGGTCCTCCAGGTTCTTGGGCTCCGGATGCTCCTGATACTCGAACATGGCACCAGGCCCACCACCACAACCAGCACCATCATCCAGCATCACGGACTTCCTCAGCAGCTCCTGGGAAGTCTCCAAGGCGCCCCTCATGGCCTGCATGGTCTGCTCCACCTCTTGCATGTGCTGACGGCTTTGGTGCAAATTCGTCTGAACTTTCTGCAGGCTCCTGGACGACTCCACACTGGGTGACCTCTGACCCTGGCCAGAATAGAACCGTGATTCGGGCCGGAAGTCTGCAGAGTCCCGGCTTGGAGTCCTAAAGTGCACGCCCGACGAGACGCCCGAGATGTGTGAGTCCACGCTGGATGTACGGGATGGGGTCTCTCTGGGCCTCTCGTCACGGCTTCGCCCTTCACCTGCGGCGTGAGGCCGTGCGTTTGCCGCTTGTGCACTGGGCTGGGATGGACGGGATGATGGATGGGATGGCTGGCGTGACTGGGACTGGCCCGACTGCTGGGAATGGGGCTGGGGATGCTGGGGATGCTGGGGATGGGTCTGGGAAGACTTCGGGGCTGGGGAGGAGGCGACGCTCCGAACTGAGCCAGACATGTGCACGGGTGTTCCGGTTGGGCCTGGAGCAGGGCCTCGGATGGTCCGGTAAGGCACTCGCCCTTGCATCGGGACCACCACGGCCCCAGCCGGCATCGAACCCATGGGCACCGAACATGGCACAGCTCCACCAGGGCCTGACATGCGCGGCCAAGTGCCAACGGAACCACCAGGAGGAGGCGGCATGATGGAGATCCTACACTCCTACACTTGCCAAGAGAAGATTGGTTCTGCTCCACTGTGAGGTTTTCTTTCTTGCTGATAGCTCTGCCTCTCTTTACTAAGTTGCAATGAAGCATGTGCCGAGCCACCAATTGACCGGAACTTGGCATGGCAACTAAGTGGGGCATGGCAGTGTGTCTCTTGGTGCTCAGGCCAGGCACGACATGGTGTGGATACTCCAGCCTGCCATGTGGAGCTGCCCTTCGGAGCCCACCCTGCGCACGGGTTTATCAGAAAGCCTTACCCTGGCTTAGGTCTGCAAAAGGATTCGGCCTGCCACTTGGCGGGGGACTCGCTTCTGGAGGTTTTTGGGAAAGGACGGAAAGGACCGGGCACATGAGGCACATTCCCATCCTCAGGTTGAGATGGCAACCTGGAGCAAGAACCATCCCATGCTGAACCATCCCCGGCTCATTGGTGCAGCTCCCTAAACCCTGAAGCCTAAACTCCCCCCAATGTCCTCCAAAGCATCAAAATCGGACCAGACCATGGTCGAGAAGCTTCACGGGCCTTGTCGGACAGACGCTGGGGTTCTGAGGTTTATCGGGTTTAGGGTCAGTGCCAGCGTTTGGCAACTGCATTTGGGGGATTTTGGGTCTGGGACCTTAAAGGGGTTTCCGGTCATGCCGATTCCCTCGAAACTTCATGATCCTTCAACATCTCGTTGGAGTGTAGGGCCTGGAGTTCTGCCATTCCCGTCAGTTCTTTCAGGGCCCAAATCTGCCATTCCCCTGCGCGATGCTGGCCATAAGGGCCTTTCAAAGGTCCGACAAAGCCCAGGATCCACACATGATAGGAAGCTTGATTTGCCAGCTCCTTTGTGCATTAAAAGCTTCGGGTATTGGGCAAGGCTAACCTACGTCGGGCATGTCGGGGTAACCCTGCAGCAGCTCAGCTGCTTGGGCACTGCTCTGGCTCTTTTTCAATCAACGAGCCCTCGCTCAGCTAACGCGCTTAGGACAATCAGGGTACAGGGCTCAGAGTTTAGGGCTTAGAGTGCATATGTCAGGAGCAGCAGTGCATCAGCACAGCATGCCCTTCCCCTGCCTGGAAGGGGCCCAGCTGGCGTGATATCCGCCCACCATTCAAGCGGATCGTGCTGCAATCTTCGGCTCCTGCAGCTGGAAGACTCCCTAACCGCTAGGCCATTCACCTTTAGCAACCAAACCTTTCAAAGGGTTCATCCATAGCGCCTCGCGTGGAAGGAAGGCCTTTGTTTAAACAACCAGAACGAAAATCTTCACGTCTTCTGAGAGCGTCGAGTACAGATGAAAAGTCGCATGTCCACAGTTTTCGCTATTTCGTAGCTCGTGAAAATCCTGACATGTGAATCCTCAGCCTGCACCTAACGCAGAGGACTTCGCAAAGGTTGCTTGCGTCTAGCAGCTGGCCTGCAGAAGGAAGAATCAACAAGTTACCTTAAACGAGAATTAAAGCAAATTGCGAAGTATTCAGGGGAACTGGGTTCCCCATACTCTTTGTCAGCACCTGAAACCAAAACCCGGAACCTGAACCCCAAGCAAACAAAGGCCCAAAGGTCGAGCTTCCGCGGGCCATGGCATATCCGGACGTCGCAGGAACCTCTGACGCCTCGATTTGGCGAACCCAGCTGTGTGATTTGGCTGCACATGCCACGAAAACATACGAAAACCCTTGCACAATATCAGGCATGTTCTACGACTCTACGACTGCCGCCAGGACAGAACTTGGCGTTGTAGTTTTTTTGAAGTTAGTGGCAACCAAGCAGGGGGCAGGAGTATGTTTAAGAGTCTCCTGCCAATGAAGACCCTCTCCTAACACAGCGATACGGAGCTGGGACGCCGTCTCCACCTCCACTGCTAGCAGCTTGAAACCTACGCTGCACATGGTACACTGTTGATTCCACACTTGAGACACACTTGGATCAGTTCAACGTTGAAGACTCACTAACTCCTAGGCCAGTCGCCTTTAAGGGTTCATCCACAGTGTCTTGCGGTGTCGATGGGTCTTTGTTTAAGCAACATGCGTCTTCCTTCCCCTTGTTTCTTGTGAGCTTCTTCTTCATTCCTGATGTGCGTGCGTGTGCGTCTGCGTCTGCGTCTGCGTCTGCGTCTGCGTCTGCGTCTGCGTCTGTGTCTGTGCCTGTGTCTGTGTCTTTATAGATCATGTCATCCATAACGTATTTCAAATTCACTCCACATCCGTGAATATAAAAGAGCAAAACATTCACATTATAATTCAGGAATCTGACAAATAAGACAACATGCGACCTAGTGGAAAAACGTTATGGACCAAAAGCACCCTGCTTTTGTTTGACATGTTTCTATAAAGCACCGTCATGCAAGCATGAACGTATGCTTATAGACCATGTCATCCATAACGTATTTCAAATTCACTCCACATCCGTGAATATTAAAGAGCAAAACATTCACATTATAATTTATAATTCAGGATTCACGCTCCTTGCTGTTGCGTTGCACGGCACAGCCGAGTCAGGGGAAGGTTCAAAAATTGACTGACACTTGGAGTGCCAAGCTGCAGTACTGAGAGCGCTCACATCACGCTGAGAGTGTAATGCCACATGACTCGAGCGTACAACTGATGCACGCATATCACCCTCTCGACTGTGCTAAGTTGAAGCAAGAGATTGATCAGAAGGAAGCATGTCACGCTGTCCACAACGACGCTGGATAGGAAACTCAGCTCATCCCACCTCCCTCTCGAAGGTGGGTCTGCCAAGTTGCTATGGCTGGGAACCCTGTGGAACCAGGGAAGACAAGGATTGGCCTCATCTGCCACCACAGATGTAGCAGCAACTCTCTCCAGCTGGCGTCGCGCGAGCTACCATTGACGCACGAGCTCAAGACACCAGAATGGTCGACGAAAAAGAAGCATCGCTGTCCCCCGATCGTGGACTTCCACAGAATGCGTGCAATAACAACTGCACAGAGCTCAGTTTGACCTATGATGCGCTTTCTGCCAGATGCCCATTTGCTAACCACGCACTCAGGCAGACTCAGGCAGCACTGCGCCAAAAGTCCTTACAACTTGAGCGCGAGGATCGACGAGAACGCCGCCGATAGAGGCGCACGGCTCGCACGCTCCATCCGTCAAAACCAACACCGGCGACGAACACGGCGAAGTAACAATGGCCCTCGGGACCGATGCCACCAGCCTCCGCTTAAGCGTGAGTCTGACTAAGAGTGACTTCCTGGCTTGCACGTTGCAGCACCCTCAAATCAGCCAGCGCCAATCTCCCAGCTCGCCCAAGCAGTTGCGCCTCAGAGAACTGTAGCCGTCCCAGCATTGAAGGAACTTCACGCCTTTGCCAAAACATCATCAAGCTTGTTGACCATCGCCGCTGCCCTGTCCGGCTTTGTTCCCTACGGTGACAACTTCAACACGAAGGTCAGCGGTGTTCACCATGACACCAAGCGTCTCGGTATCAGTGCCCTCTAGGAAAAACGGCGATGCAACTGGAAAGCCGTCATAGAGCAAGTAGCCAACACCTGAACCTTCCAGAGAGTTCGCTGCAAGAGTTGCGAGATCCTGTTGAAGTGCAACCTGATGATCCAAAGGGTAATGTATTGCAAACAAAACCCTTAGCTGCACCGTCCTCCGGCGACTTGACGGTGATCACTGGCCCCTTGGCTGAAGCGGTAGCTGCTTAGAAGCAGCTTTTCGGTCAAACGTCTTGGTCACGGGTCGAATCGCTCACAATCATGCCATAGCAGAGGTGCTTCCAATCGCTCCGTACTGAAGACAAAGCATTGGCCGCCCGCATATGAGCCGGCAAGTCCAACACAACTCATCAGTGCCCGCAAAAAGATGCGCTTAAAGCAACCGAAGCACGCGTTGACACCGCCTTGGTCATGTCGTTAATGGGCCTCCACTTTGCCAGTCTGCAAGGGGACCAAACACCTCCAAACAGCTTGCAGGTACCGTATGCGCCCCAACCAGGCCTTGCCAGAGTAGTCCTGCTCTGCCTGCAACTGAACCTTCCCATAACGTGGCTTTTCTTACATCAGCAGCACAGTGGCCGGTCTATTGCGACTAAGTGAAACCAAGCGAAGAGCATGACCACGCAACGAGAACGAGAAAAGCAAACCAACCAGAGCTTAAACTGAGGTGAAACGTTTCCCGCAAGCACTCGCTTTCTTTTTCTTGAGCCAAAGCGAGCGCAGTCTCATCTACTGGGCTACAAGCTGTGTGAAACACATGAACCACATTCCCAAACTGTCACTGCTCAGCTTCTCACGAACAAAACACGAACGATACGAGACGTGACGAAACGAACGTGCTCTCTCTCTCTCTCTCTCTCGCTTCTCTCTCTCTCTCTCTCTCTCTCTCTCTCTCTCTCTCTCTCTCTCTCTCTCTCTCTCTCTCTCTCTCTCTCTCTCTCTCTCTCTCTCTCTCTCTCTCTCTCTCTCTCTCTCTCTCTCTCTCCCTCTCTCTCTCTCTCTCTCTCTCTTCTCTCTCTCCCGCTCTCCTCTCTCCTCTCTCTCTCCTCTCCCTCTCTCTCTCCCTCTCTCCTCTCTCTCTCTTTCTCTCTCTCTCTCTCTCTCTCTCTCTCTCTCTCTCTCTCTCTCTCTCTCTCTCTCTCTCTCTCTCTCTCTCTCTCTCTCTCTCTCTCTCTTTCTGCTCCCCCTGCAGAATCAACTTCCAAGATGAGGATTGAGGCTCGTATGAGATCTGAATGAGCACCCACATTCGTCTCTCGACAGGAACTTCGTCTCGAGTCAGGCTACGAAGTGCAGAAACGGCCCAGACTCGGCCCGGAAGAGCCAGAAGGCGGGGCTCCAGGGTGAAAAGAAGAGCCGGGAAACTACTGTGGCCTTCACCGTGCCCGGCCAGCCAAGACCACGACCGTTGCGCCGGAGGCACATTGACCTAGTTTCTGGGAATCCCAACACTTTTTTTTTTTGGACCGATGCCTCTTTACTACATCAGCAGCGCAGTAGGCCGTTCTTGTGGTTCTCAACACT